GATGGGCCAGCAGGCAGGCAGAGGTGGTTTGGGGGTGGCAGCCTGCTGTTTTTTCAGTGTATTGTGATGTGGAGAAGCTTTCCACAGGCTAGGGGTTCAGAGTTCTGAAGTTTCAGTTCTCCCTGGTGCTTTACCTCAGCCAAGCATGTCTCCAGTGTCTCAGCAAGGTCCCTGATTCCCAGAGCTCATTCAGTCTACATCTGTGTCCCAGTCGCCAGTTTGGATCTTCTTGACTGTATCTCATTTAACTTTGCTCCAGCCATACTGGCCTCTTTGTAGTTCTTCATCTGCAGTTTTACCTTAGAATTTTTCACTGGCCTTTTCCTCTGTGTGGAATGTTCTTTTCCCAGATAGGTACATAGTTAACTCTCCCACCTTCTAAAAGTTTTTACTGAAATGTCATCTTCTCACAAAGAACTATCCTGACCATCTTTTTAAGTCTACAACCCACCAAGCCATCCCCTTAGATTATTATTTTTAAATGTGTATTTGCAAGGTGGCAGTGCTTCCCCATGTTGCTCATGATCCATTGTATTTGAGTAAATATAATTAGTTCAACCATCTAAAATGTAATCCTAAAAAGCACCAGCACAAAGTTCATTACTGAAGGATCAGAAGTAAGTGCTGAGAAGGGCAACTATCTAGGCTTGACTTTGCTTCTCCTTTTATTAAATGAGGGCAATATTGTCTACCTAAAATGGTTACTGTGAGAATTCTGTGGGTTGCTACCTATGAAGTCCTTAGATTAATACCTAGCACTGTATAGTATTCAGTAAATGCTAGCTAGCTATAATTGAATTGGATCATTTATTTCTCATCATCTCCCCATATTGCCTGTGACCACAGGCAAGAAGACCATGAGTTCCAGTATTGCCATCTAAGTAAAGTATTCCATAGTAGATAGGATGAAAGGCAGACATCCAACAAGCTTTGCAAAATCAGTTTCTTTGTTGACTTTTACTATTCATCAAAGAGAAAGTAACCATGAACCAGGTATAACTTCCAAGGATTTATAGATATTTGTTGAAAATTTACCAATATTTGGAGGGATTATTCTACTTTTTTTTTTTTTTGAAAAAAGAAGGTTCTGGAATAAACTGCCTTCCCTGCATACTTTCTTCACATTGCTGTTAGGAAAAGTGGCCTAGATTAAGGAAATCTAAGGAAGTAATTTTGGAAAATCAATATTTATAATTTTTGTGGTGGCTATTGAAATCTTTGAATTTTGTTTGGATGTTATATGAAGTACAATAGTACTATCTTAATTTTTTGTTTATCAGTAATATTTCCGGATATTTTTTGCCAAACTTTTCCTTTTGTGTTCCTCAGTTATCAGAAATCATCACTTATTCAGACTAATAAGAGATGGGGGAAAGTCTGGTTTGAAAAATATTCCAAAATATATGTTTTATACAAAAGAAGAATTAGTTTTAGCTCACTATTAGTAAATAATTGATGTTTCCCAAGTACTTGAGAAGATCTGAAAATAGTTGGCCTAATGAGGGAGTTCATTCTCTTTGTAAACCATGATTGCTCTCTTTGAAATTACTTGGAAAATGGAAACTGCAATGGGAAATTTCATAGGATCTCATAAAGTTTCTTCTCTAGTCTCTCTAGACCATATATATTCACTGAACTAAGCCTTAATTATTTTCTAAAGGGTTTTTTATGGTCTAGTAATTGTTTATGGGGTGAAGTGAGTGGAAACAAAAAGCTGTTCCCCTGAGAATGTGGAAGGCCATGAGTGTCTATGGGAAAGACCAGTCCTGCTGGGAAAGGTTTGACCCAGAGTCACTCCAGTCTCCACCATGCACTATAACTTTCAGTAGATGCTTTTGGATCTCTAAACCTCAATTTACCCATTTGTGAAGTAAGTATGACCCTAAAGTGTACACTTCATAGGACTGTTGTAAAGATTAAATGGTATAATGCATACAAAGAATGAAATTGTATAATGCATACAAAAGTACTTGGAAGTGTCTTGCAGGATGACTTTATTTACCATCACCTAGCTTCATTTTCTTGATGGTGACAACCAGAGGCTCTGATATCTTCACTTACAGTGAGACCTACATATCTCACTCAGACATACCACTGAGTATTTCAAAAACTGCCTCAAATTTAGCAGTCTAACATGGGAGCCTAAATTTTGCCCTCAAAGTCCTATTCATGGCTTAGCCCATTTTTCATCTTTAAGTAAATGGCACCACATCCCACCAGTTTACTTAAGTCAGAAACTTGAAATCCACCTTTGGCTCTTTATTTTCCTGTACCTTCCTCATTTTGTCCAATGGGAAATCTTTGTAGCTCAGTTGAGAAGTTCATCCTACTGCTTGCCCTTCATGCACCATTTGCTGCTGGGTATTCTTGCAGTCTCAGTCATCAGCTTACTTTGGTCTAAGTTCATCCATCCAGAGATAGCAAATATTTGTGTAGAAACTCAGGGAGAAAGGACAGGAGATGTGATGGGCACCACATCTGCTATGTTCCTTTTTTTTTCTATCTCTCCACCCAGGGTCACAGTTCTGGTCAAAGCAGATGACCCTATGTGAGTCTCTCCCTTGCCAGGGCCTGGTGGCCACTCTCTCCTACCCTTTCAAGTCTGGATGCATGACAGCTAGCTTCATTGTCCCTCTAAATCTACAGGTTCTTCATCAGCTTTTCCTCCTCCAGTCATCAAACATTGAGAGCTCATCTGTTACTATTGAGACCCTCACTGCCACGGGCACCAGTGGCTGGCCACAGCAGAATGCTCACTCTACTTTGATCCAGTGCCATCACACCACACCATGCTAGTGCATGGGGTGTAACGCAACATAGTCTCTTCTCAATTTTTTATTGAAAGCTGGGCATAACCCTTCTCTTCTTGAGTTTCTTCTTAGAGTATTTGAGACCCCTTTTCCAACTCTTGCAGAATTTCCACCCGGGAGAAGAAGGATGGGGTGAAGGGAAGCCTTCTGACTGCCTTACTTTCACTTCCTTCTCCAGCTCACGCTCCACTGGAGACAAAAGAGGAAGGAGTTTCTTTACTCCTCCAGCTCTCTGCTAATGTCCTTCACATCGAGGAGGCATTTCCCGTCTCCAATCATCTGGAGTTTTGATAGCTGCGTTTTGTTGAGAAACATATCTGTAGTAGAGAAAAATAAGCATATTTAATGTTTTTAAAACGTCATTGCTCATTACACATGTCAGAAAATATCACTCCTTTGCTTGAAACCATTACTGGCTTCTTGGTTGCACAGAATATGTGGGTCCATTAACAGCATCCACAGGTTCAGCAGATCTGGCTCCTGCTTATATACCCAGCCTCATTTCCCAATGTTCTCCCCTGGTGGCTATATACCAGTCACGCTTATCTTCTGGGCTGGAAACTTGATTCTCCAGCCTCATTTGACCCTTAAGAAGACTGCAGGCAACCAGCAGCCTCATGAGAGACCCTTAGCCTGGAAAACCCAACTGAACAGTTTCTGGATTTCTGATCCTCAGAACTTGTGCAAGATAGTAAACCTTTGTTATTTTCAGATACTATGTCTTGAGTAATGTGATATAAAGTGGTAGGTTAATACAGTAACATCCTACCTACAGTTTTACCTGCTGGGTTTCAGTGATTCATAGTCATCTGTGACATGAAAATACTGAATGGAAAATTTCAGAAATGAGATGGACTACATTTACATAACTTTTATTATAGTATGTTGATATAAATGTTTTATTTTATTATTGTTATTAATCTCTTTCTATGCCTTATTTATAAATTAAGCTTTAGCATATGTATAGATACATAGGAAAAATGTAGTGCATATAGGACTCATTACTGTCTTGAGTTTCAGGGGTCTTGGAATGTGTCCTGCATGGATAATGGGGCATTACTGTAATGCAGAGGTGGTTCCTAGAAGTGGAGGGTTGTCATCACAAAACCCAAATTGTGATGACATTGAGAATGCACAGTGAACTTGAAGGAGAGTGTGCATGAGGCCTAAAGAACCTTGAAGAAGATGTTACTAGAATCCTTCAAGAAGTGGGGTGAGGGCTTCAGGAAAGTAAGCAAAATCCCATTGGAAAATGGAGGAAAGAAAATCTATTATGGAGTGTCAGAGATCTTAGCAGCACTGTTGCCTGCAGTTATGTGGAAAACAGAGAATGTACCTGACAGGATAAACTAGTTAAGGAGATTCCCAATTTGAGAACTGTCATTGCCAGCCAGTGTGTTCTCCCTCCTTACTATAAAATGTGAGGGGAGAGAGACAAGCTAAAGGAAGGACTGTTAAATTAGTCAAGACTTGATGATTCTGAAAATTCTCAGCCTCCTAGGTGACAAAGAAATGGCTTCTGAACAGTAGTAATAAACTCGAGCATTTTCTCTCTTCCTCTCTTTCATCATATATTCACTGAGTATGCTGAAATTTACATTTGCCCACAGGAGACCCTATCATTACATCTGTAGGAGTATTATTAACAAGGTTTCTGTACAGTATAGTTTGCATAAGATAGCCCTGAATTTTGCCTGTTGTCTTAGTGTAACTGTTTCCCCTTTCAATCCTCCCATACTCTGGATTAGATGACAGATTGTGTGACTAAAATTACTGGTAACTTCTTTAGCATCCTATTCATCTGACCACATGTCCATTTACATGTTCTAAAACCATGCCATTATGTAGAGTGTTAGAGTGTGTGTGTGTGTGTGTGTGTGTGTGTGTGTGTGTGTTCGGGTATTGAGAGGGAGGCGTGAATAGAGAAATGGAGATAGTTGTGCTGGTGTCTATTAAGTATCTCTCCTTCTTTATTATGTCCTCTACTTTCCTAGATAGAAGTGAGAAAAGTCAAGTATTATAATAAGGTGGAATTATATTATTTGTATATAATTCCAAATTCTTATTTGTCTCTAGGAATCTCAATATTTAAGAGTCCATATATCCTGGTCTTAGTTAAGTCACCTTTTACATAGATGTTTCAGTGTGCCTTAAACTGATTTTACTTAATTTCTATTTTCTTTTATGCAGGACTTGAAATTTGAAGTGGAAGGATTCAACCAAGATATTCCAATGTCATATTTAAAGACTGAGAAAACATTTGTGAAGTATGTTTCTTGATATTAGATTTGATGCTTTCTGTTAAGTGTATATTGATATATATTAAGTAGGGGCCAATTATAGATTCACCCAAAGGATCAGGTTTTTGGGAATCATGACCCCTTTTCATCTTGGGACATATCATACCCATATGATGTTTGGCAATAGGGCACTGCAGCAATGGTAGTGTAGTTGGGAGTCATATTTTATTTATCTTAGAACATATCCACATGCTTGGCCAGTGTTGGACTTCCAGGGGTGGACATGGCAGTCACTTCTCCCTTGTGCAGTAGTAGGAGGTATAGGTTCAGATGCAGCTCTCTCTCTAGTGGCATGATCTCACTTTGAACCTCAGACTTTCCCCTTCCTCTGTAAGTTTGAGCAAGAGAGTCAACATCAGTTGCTCAGCATTTAAGCAAGAGCATATTGTAAGGGTTGTATGAGACTAGAAATGCAATGTGTTTGGAAGAATGTGCCAGGGCATGCTAAACACTGATAAATGCCACTTCATCCTGAGAACCTTGGTGGGTCTAAATGGGGATCCCCACTTGTCAATGTCTGGTGACATTTTTGTCTGTCCCAGCTGGAACTAGTGGGCAGAAGGTAGGGATTCTGTTAAATATCTTACAATGTACAGGGCAGCCCCATAACAAAGAAGCATCTGGTTCAAAGAGCCAACAGTGTTAAGGTTGAGAAATCCTGCTGTACTCCATGCTGTTTGTTCCTTGCTATTCTCATAATTTCTAATCCTACCAGCAGTGCAAATAAGACATTAACCAGAGTGGGGCCTGTCTGCCTGTGAAGACTATTTAGTGTCTGCAGGACTAGGCCATGCAGACAGGATTATATACACTAAGGAGTCATTGCAGGGCTCAACTGGAGATCAGTGAGGTGAGAATAGCATGCTTCCTATGAATAACATTTCCAATGATAGGACTTTGTACTAATAAAATGGCAAGGAAGGCCTTCAAGTCTTTATACATGAGAGATCTAATTAAAGGCTAACTTACAAGGGTGAAAATAGGAACTAACCTAAATATCCAACAATAAGGGATCATTTAAATACATTGTGGTAGGCTCTTAGAATTAAATACTAGGTAATACCTCAAAATCAGGCTGCAGAAAAAAAATGCCTACAATACACAAAAAGGAAAATACAGGTTAAAAATAATATTTACAGCACCATTCTCACTCTGTATTAAAAATGTGTCTTGCTACCTGGCTCTGATTAATAGAACTCAATATTATATAATGGTTACATCTGGTTCAGTGGGAAGATTTTTTATTTAACATTTTATTAGTGTATATTAGTTGTAAAGGGGGTTTTGTTGTTACATTTCTATATATGCTTATAATGTGCCTTAGTTAGGCTTACCCCCACCATCATTCTCATCACCCACCCCTGAAAGGGAAAGATTTTTATAATACACTAGCACATATACAAATACTCCTTCATATTCACAGTTTTTGCACTCATGGACTCATCAACCTCAGACAGAGGTTTCTTATTTGAAAAGAATCTGTGTGTGTACTGAACAAGCAGCTTTTTTTATTTTTCTTTCTTCTAATACTCATAGCACAACAAAAGCTATTTACACCACAGCATTTATATTGTATTAAGTATGATAAGTCAGTGAGATGACTTGGAGCACACAGGAAGATGTGCGTAGGTTCTATGCAAATACTAGGCATATTATAGAAGGAACTTTAGCATCTACAGATTTTGGTACTTGAGGAGGACTTCCAGGAATTAATTCCCAGTGTATCCTGAGGGACAACTGTACTTACACAAATCGTAAAATTAGTGAGGTGTAAGAGGGTAAAACAGAATAATAATTGACCTTAGAACCTAATGGAGATATGTTCTGATGTCTTGGCTCCTGACCCAGAATGTGATTACTTTAAGGGAATTCAAATCACTAGATTATCTCTAGGTACCTGGTATCAGGTTCAAGCTGTGTCTTAATGTTTTGATATGCATTATATTCCCTTTTAACTTTAAGGAAGTTAAAAAATCTTTAATTATAAAATAATTGGATTATAAGCAGGAATTATGTTTCTTTTCTTTCCCCTTTCAGATTATAATTGTGAATGTGCTATCTAATTATTCAGATTAAATTTGAAGTATATTTCTTAGTGCCTTACAATTCTTGCCAAGGGAACAAAGAAAGAAACTGAGGAAATCATTTCACTGTGGTTAACAGAAAATGTTTCATGTGAGCTAATGAAATCTGTTTACCTTCATAACTGTATAATGGTGCCATTAAAGACAATAGATACAGTATTTTAAAAGTAATAAAATTTACAACAAAGTGTATTTAATTTGAAATTGAATTGCCAGCAAATGGGTGTCCTAATGAACTCTTATGTCACTGTAGCGCTAACCAAATTAAGAGAAATCATTTGTGTCACAGGAAACTAAATCAGTAGAGAGGCCCCGAAAGGCTATTCCTGCAGTGGTGGTATAGTCATTGTTACAGATGGCCCTGCCGATGGAATTAAGCTTAAGTCAGGAGAAGAGAGAGATGAGATCATTCTTAATTCAAATGATGAAAATGCAGGAAAATGATGTCAGGATCTGAGAAGAAAAATGGCGATAAATAAGAATTTTGAATAAAGTGAGTAAGTGTTGACAGGAGGAAGAGAGTCAGGGTACGTTGAGGGTAGAATCTCCATCTCTGGCCATTGCATTAAAGAAAGAAGTTTATATCTTTTCATCTGTCCATCTATTTAAGTGATTTTTTTCCAAAGTATCCCCAACAATTCATAAGATCAAAGGGAGAGGGGATAAAAGATGAAATGACAAGAAGTTTTGCCAAGTTTAGTTGGCCCTCCATATCTATATTCATGGATTCAGCAAATCATGGATCAAAAATGTAGTGAGGTCTATAATGGCTTCATCTGTACTTAACATGTACAGATGTTTTTCTTGTTGTTATCTCCTAAAAGCAATACAGTATAACTATCTACATAACCTTTATATTATATTAAGAATTACAAGCAATCTAGGGAAGGATGGGCACAGTTCTTATGTAAATTCTATTCCATTTTATATAATGAACTTGATGATCTGTGGATTTTGATAATCATGGGGGAAGCAGTCCCCACAGATATGAATGGATGATTGTATTTGATCTGGTAATTTCTGAAGCAAGTGACATTTTAGTTGTTGGGAGATCAGTAGCAACTATAGTGAGTCTATTATTTTATGGGGCCATACTTCAAAAACCACTTCCTCTCTGACTTTATTGACAGTAGCACCTGCACCTGCAATGTGGGGTTTATTTACTTCTGATTAATCTAACAAAATGGTTAAGGAAAGCATCAAGTCATGTCATGGTTCCAAAGGCAAACCTTTTCTGTATGCTGTATTATCAATTTTTCTTTCTGTTTTCTCTTTCTCATAATTGCACCAGAGCTCCACATTGACCATCCATTGCAGACTTAAATATTGGCGAAAAGGGGAGTGGCACCAAGCTCATGTCACTCACAGGTATAACTAATGGTTCCAAGGGAGCAGCAGGATCTTGCTGCAAGGTGAGCTTTTGGGACTGACTTTTATTCTGATGCAAAATATTAAATAATGAGATCATTTCTATTGATTCAGTTGCTTGTTGTGCTTCTCTTCCTGTAGGAATCAAGAGAAACAGGGGTTTGGCAGGTCTTAATATTTTTGATGACAAACCTAGGCCAAAATCTCTCAATGGTAAAGCCCTTGGAATTCCTCAAAACAGGATGTCAGGGGAAGCAGGACCCATGCTTGCTGTATGGTGAGGCGGTCCTGCCACCATGCAAATGAGACAAGCCTTGAGATTTGATGAATCTTCTATCTCCTTCTCCTACTCTGTCTGACACTCGCTTTGAGGAAGGTTGTAAATGCAAGAGAGATTGTGGTATAATTCCTCAGACTGGCATTTCTGCCCCCTAGTCACCATTCGATTATCTTCCAAATTGCTGTGTTTCAGAGAGATAAAGATTTTTTATGGCTTGCTGACTTAAAACAACCACAAGAGCCAGCAAAGAGATGGCTAAGCAGCCATGCATAATAATTCCACTAGTAAATGACAAAATCTTTGTTTGTATGACATTTCCAAAATTACTACAGAAGATGAATCTAAAACACAAAATGTCACATTTGGCATGCAAAACTATCACAATATATTTCAGTATAAAATTCATAGAGGCGTTTAATTTAGAATGTGTTTAATAACTCCGCCTGCCTGCATCAGTAATCCTGCCTTGAGGTTTTAAAAGACTGTCTTATTTATTCACATGGTATTAATTTTAAAATATTTTTGGAAACCAAAATATTAAGGTTAAGTCTTTGTTGTTAATTAAGATTTTCTAATTAAACCAAAAATAATTGTTATTCTGATTAGTTCTTAAGTATGACTTATATGAATAAACAAAAGAAGTTGGACAACTTTCACTGTTTAACTGTGATTTAATTCCAGATGCATTCTTTCTTTATGGAAATATGTATTATCTCTTCAAATAAAGTTTAGGCAGGATTAAGAAGTACTTCCTGCTGGCTGTAGATTAACTGGTGGTACTACTAACTTGAATAGGCTCAAATGGCATTACTTTTGATTAAAGCACTATATATCAGAGAACTAACTCTTCAAGGTCAAATTATTCTGACTACTACTAAGGTCCAGTGAGTATAGAAACACAAATTAGTGTCATTTAAATTATTAGTTATCCTGGTTTAATATTTATCTAATGAAATAATAGCTCATTAAAAATCATCAATTTATATAAACTTTTGGGAACTTATTAAAAATGAAAATGGCCTGCTTCTCTCAGCTATGGGAGAACAATGAAATTCAAATGTACTATAAAATGTTAAGCCATTTTCCTCTGTTACATGTAATTTGTGCTAAGTTTTAGGGTAAAGCACACACACATTCTGTTTCCGTCCTTATTTGGGGCTCTCTTTGGAAGTCCATGTTGAAAGTATTTCCATCAACAGAGGTGTTAGTTTGACTTGTTCTGTACTTCACTTATCAACAGGCATCAGTGTGATTGCTGCCAGTCAGGGTTATCACCTTTCAAATTCCCAGTGTGAAGCTTAGTGTCCAGGTACACCCATCCCTAGTGTCTTAGAAGGCATGCTGTGTGGTTTTAGAAGTGTTGGTTTCCTGTTAATTCTATCCTATTATAATAGATGAATGCTTTCTGATGTCACAGATCATTAACATACCATGCTTAAAAATTGGCTAAACTTTCCCTCCCATCATTGGCAGGTTTGCCTTTTGACCTCTTAATTATACATCATGGGTCCTTGTCTGTTATCATTGCTAATACCTGACAATTACAGGTTGAGTAAAAATAATTGTCTATTTTTTCCCCTGAGAAACCCGTTGTTGCTAATTGTGTGGTTTCCGCCAGTTCCTATGTAATTCAAGAACTCCATCTTTTATGTAGGTGGAGCAGTCTCAGTTCCCCCAGCCTCTTCAAATACAGATCAAATGCATTAGAGGCCTCAAGACAAGGTTTCCCAAGGGTCTTACCTCCTCAAAGTGTCTCTGCTTGGCCGACCAGGGAGCTGTGTCTTGCAGTGGTGGCAAACAGAGCATCTGAAGACCAGAACACACCCAGTTCATCATGATAGGAACTTTTATGATGTGGGGCTATATTTCCATGGAAGCCTTTATGTGGTAAGCTGACCTTTGTGCACATGTATCACCTTTTTTTAAATTTCCCTTCTGGCTTTCCCAATCTGTCCACCTTCCTTTCTATCCATGCAACTTTAGGTAATCAAATTTGTGTAATAAACATAGGGATTTTATTCATGTATTCTTTCATGAACACATTCACTCATTCAGCAAATGCCCGATAAGCACCCACTATGTGCTAAGTACTGTTATGGACCATCCATGGACAGCTTCAGTCCTGTGTAAAAGGACAACACCATTCTTACTTATCAAGAATGTCTGGTAGGGATTCTTCTTCTGATTCTTCTCTTTTTTGGGATTTGCAGATACAGAGCTCTGACTTGTGCAGTGTGTGTGGGGGGGGTGTGGAGGGCAGGGCGGTATAAGCAGCCTTGGTCACTGAGAACCAGGTGTTAAGTTAGAAAGGTTGGAGGAACTATTGAGAAAAAAAATGATGGATATAGGGTTGCATGTCAGCCAAGCAAATGAGTTCTGGAGAAGATAGTACTGTGAGGAGGCAGTGCGTAAGTCTAGAGAGTCATCCTGGAGGCAAGAATGACAGCAGGAGTCAAAAACATCAGGCACCTGAGGAAATAGGACAGGCTCAGTTTCTCTATAGTATCTGCTCTGGACAGATGGTGTCTCCTTGGGAATTTTAGTCCTAGAGAAAAGAAAGAAAAGGGGCTGAATGAGTCCCAAATTGTCATCTCATGCTAATGCATTGGATGCTGGCAGTTGACATAGAACTGCTTTTGACACTACTAACTTTAATTACAAAGAAAAAATGTGAGAATCAATATAGGTGTTGCAGGGTGATATGCTAGAAGAAAATATTTTTTCCTTAACAGGAAACAGATTTTCAAGCTTGTTTTTTAGCATCCTAACTTTGTAGATATGCAAGACCCTTAAGGACAGTGGCTATTTTTTTCCATTTTTTACTAAGCAACAACTTCATGGTGAATTATGAGCAGAGACAATATAGTGTCAACAAAAAAAGCCACACCATTGAATGATAAGTGCAAAGTCCAAGCAACCACTCTTTCATTTAGAAGTTGACAAGAGTTAGAAACAAAGAAACAGAGCCCATTATGGAAGCCATGCACTAAGTGGGTGTTAGTGAATATCACTGTTAATCATTAAGCCATCCCATTACCAGCTTCAGACATAGTTTGGAGAAGTGGTAGTGGGGGGTGATGACACACTGAAATGTTTTTGAAACAGAGATAGAAGAATTTATTTCCAAGAAGAGTTTGAAGGGGTGAGGGTAGACCCTGAGTGTCAAGATCACTGAAGAGTCAATCAAGTCTCACTTGGCTTATTTGCAAAATGGGTATAATGATGCCTGCCTACCACAGGCATGTGAGAATTGATTGACTTAATGCTTGCAGAAGTTTGCTGCACCCTTGCACAGTAAGAATCCCAAATCTTCTTTTATTATTATTATTATAATTATGCTGTAGTTTTGAAAGTGAAGCCCATAAATTTTTACCCACTGGACTTTTCTTTTAATTAACATCATAAATGCTTATATCTCAGATAATTTTCAAATTAACCTTTGGTTGAGAACAGTGTAAGTTAACAATTTTTCCTTCAGTAAGTGATCCCAAAGGCCTTGTTAGGGAGCATGGGTGTCTGTGCAGGGTGTTGGTCTAGGTTGGTTATGGAGAAGAACTTTTCCCCTGGGAAGCCACCAAGTACCAGAAACAGAAATTGAGGACAAGTATGAGCAGGTATCAAGGCATAGTTCAGGCCTTGAATTGCGATCTTTGTTCTCACTGTTTCTTAGGAAGACATTTCAGAAATGTGATAGTAGCTAAAAATCAGATAATAATTTTTAAAACACTAATGTGCAATTACATTCTTTAAAAAATTTTTTTTTGTGGTGCTGGGGCTTGAACTCAGGGCTTCATGCTTGCTAGGCAAGTGCTCTAATATTTGAACCATACCTCCTTCCAGCCCTTTTGCTTAGGTTATCTATCTCTTATCTATCTATTTATTTATTTAATTTTCTTTATTCATTTATTCATATGTGCATACATTGTTTGGGCCATTTATTTTATTGGTAGTGGAGTTTGAACTCAGGGCTTCATGCTTGTTAGGCAGAGCCTTAAGCTACTCTGCTAGCCTTTTTATGTGTTGGGTATTTTCAAGATAGGGTCTTGCAAACTATTTGCTTGGGCTGGCTTCGAACCATAGTCCTTCTGATCTCTGTCTCCTTCATAACTAGGATTATAAGTGTGATGCACCAGCACTTGACTGCTTTGGTTATTTTTTAGAGAGGGTCTAGAATTTATTCCTGGGTTAGCCCAGAAGGTGGGCGATCCTCCTATTTACACCTCTGGAATATCTGGGATGATGCACTGTCCACCCCATCTAGCTTTTTATTAGTTGAAACAGGGTTTTGTGAACTTTTTGCTCTGGCTCACTTGGAGCTTGGATCCCCCTGATCTTTGACTTCCTAGTAGCTGAGATTATAGGCTTGAGACTGTGCTTGGCCTTGCAGTTCTATTCTTTTGATTCATTTTAATAAAGTACCCCAAAAATTTAAAGCATAGAGCTAGGCTAGGAAAAGAATCTTTGAAGGGCTTGCTTTTTAGAGGTATCTGCATAAATAACTTTTATATTGAAAATTGATACAAAGTATTTTTATTATTGTTATTTGTTTAGGTGTCCACTCTCCCTAGAAGCCCTCATTGAGTGTGATCTCTTAGGGCAGGAGCTTCATCTATTGTTATGCTTTCTTTGTAGAGGATATTCAGATATTCCACGAGCTGTTGAATGATTATGAAAGTTGCTGTGATTCAGATAAGCATTCCTTAAAGGTCCATGGGTGAAAGGCTTGGTTACAGGTGGCACTACTTGGAAGATGGTAGAACTGTAAGGAAATGGGGCCAAGAAAGAGGTCCTTAAGTCACTGGAGTTGTACCCTTAAAAGAAATTGTAGTAACCCAGCCTCTTCCTCTTTCTCTTTATTTTCTGGTTCATGGGGTGAGTGATTTTTGCCCTGAAATGCCGTGATGTGTTACTTTGTCAGAAGGCCAAAGCAACAGGCACCACAAAAGTTGGATGGAACCTTCAGACCCATGAACCAAAAAACCCTGTACTCTTTATAAGTTAATTCTCTCAGTTATTTCCTTATTGTGACAGAAAACTGATTAATACACAGCATATGATACAGATGAAATGTCAGGAGGGATCATAGGATGAAAAATTATCTTAAGAACATCACTGGAGAAGGGATACAGGACTGCTAGATAGAATTTGCAAAAAAAATTGTTCACAGTGTTAAAAACTACATAAAGTCTGTGGGGAGAAGCAAAAGCTGGTGATTCCTCCAAGGAGAAATGCATTTTCCCTTCCTGCCAAACACATCAAAAGTATCTTTTAATAGTTGAAATAGCTACCCCAAATTTTCTTCACATGTGTCAGAAACAAACAAAAAATAATTACTTCCTGCCACAGTCAAGGAAAATTTACTCTTTAGCAACCTGACAAAATGTCACTGAATTACATCCATCCCTTGGTATCACCTAGCAAAATCCTGGATCCCCAAAGAAATACACTAAGCTATTTCACATTCAGAGTATGTAAGAAAAGCATAAAATTCATGACAAAAATAAAAACAAGAAAAGCACCAAGACATCCAGAATGTGACAAGGATGTGAAGTCATTGGAGGCTTTCTGCTTTCCAGAATCAAAGTGGCTTGCTCCAAGTCTTGTTCATTCCATTCATCTTTACCCAATAACATCAAGTTTTTCCACTAACCACACAATTCTGCCTGTCAGTCACTCTGCTGGAGGTTGGTGTAAGACTGACAGTTGAAACAGAAAGTTTTCAAGCAATGTAATTTCGTAGTAAAAAAGTATACCAGCAGAAACACAAAAATGTGCATTGTGTATATAATTAATATTGGGGACATTTAAGACATTGATTTCATTGCATTTAAAATACATGTCAGAGACTTTTATTTTATAAACAATTTTTCATGTGTTTTCCACAAACACCTGGACATTCTGGATAAGATTTGAGCAAAAGGCTTTGAAATGTATCTCTATTCTTACTTCATAGTAAGATCATTGAAGATGCCAGGCTTCATACAGATGCCAGCTGGGGATAGATGGCTATCTATTTCTGTACAAAACTGAAGAGCTGAGCAGACTTCATGTCCTAATTACAGGAGAAGCACTGAGTCTGAGTAGGGTGCATGTATTCACACACCTGTAGGGTTACATTGCCCATGGGCCTAGAGATGAAGGTACAATGTTACAGCTTCAAGGGAAGCTTGCCTTTGGCATCAGGCTGAGCCCAGAGGCACTTAATCAGAAAGTTAAGTGATGGGGCTGCTTGGTAGGATTTTGAGAAAGTTCCAGAGGGAAGCTACAGATGTATGGGTTAGGGTTCACAGAATGGGTAGATCACTCCAGACATCCACAGTACCACTTCCAGGTATTGTTTCTTGGTGCTTGTCCCAACTAATTTCACATCTTAAAATGGTCTTCCTGTATTATGAAATAGAAGTGCTCAAATACTTTGAGTGAACAAACAAGAAGACTAAGTTTTATTCCTCTCCCACAACATGAGGTAACACCAATTTCCTTATTTCAGTTACCATAAGAATCACAGTAAACCAAAATCATTAGTGGATTCTAAGCCAATACTTATTAGTTTTGAGTACCTTGCTTGAAAGATTTTGAATAATTTCTTAGTAGAGACACTTGGAGCCTACATGTATTCTGACATTTATCCTGGAAACAATTCAAACAGAAGCATTGCCCTCTTTGTAGACAGTATTTGTTAATAGCTAATAGGTTTAGATCTTTGGGAAGAAGTTTGTAAAAGAACATGTTTTTTGGCTTTGGGCTCTGGCAGGATGATGAACTAGGTTAAATGTTCAGGTGATTTGAGTCTATTGTTCTGCCCAAATCAGGAGTTAAGTTATATTTTATTTTCAGATTTTGTTCAGTAAACAACTGGAACTTATAGATTAAAGGCTTTGAAATGT